GATGTAGATCTAATATCTTTTGATTGTGATTTGATCACTCAATTGTTTGATTATTAGTCTTGATGTTTGATAGACTCAATTGATGCATGATTGTTGCTACTTGATGTAATTTTCGTGTACAATTGCATGTCATAACATGTAAGTGATTGGATAATTGATAAGTTGCTGGAAGTGCTTTTGAAAAATTGATTTTCTGCCGCTATCACAGTGTTAATCGATTAACCATTTGCTGTGCAAAATGGTTAATCGATTAACTAGTCATTTTTTCACGTCTTTGCTAAACTTTTCAAAGGGTTAATCGATTAACCATATATGGTTAACCGATTAACACTGTAACAGATGCAGATTTTTGAGCTTTTTCATGCTTGTTTGGTTTGCTTTCCTCATTTAACTTCCATGGCTTGTTATGCTTGATATTTGTTGATGTTTTAGGAGTTGTTTAGCCTCTGTTTGAAGCATGTATGTCAACTTTGATGCATGATTTTGTCGATTATGGAATTGTTTTCATTTCTTGAAATTGTATAATCATGTTATTTTTGCATATTTTTGTTTATGTGATGAACATAATTAGTGATGCATGCTATCGATTATTGTTAGTGCTTGGCATTTCTTTTATTGAGTGCATTAAGTTTTTTCTTTATTGAACAAATTTAATTTTGTATAATCATTAATTCAAACATTCGCTTTGATGATCTTTCGATTTGCTTGAAAGACTATTGGTTTGTCCTTTCCCTTTGATTGGTTGATCGAAACCTTGTTTTGATTAATAAATCCTCCCTCTTTCTTCTCTTTAGGCTTCCTTTAGAGTTTCTCTTTCGTAGTCCCATGTGGAGCTGGAGATCTGCACAACACCTTAGAGCATTGTACAACTTGCGTTGTTACTCTGTCGGTTTCAATTTCCGCAGTGTATTATGAGTGCTAGATAAGGGATGAGAGTGGAGAATTCCTACATTCATTCTAATTATTTTGGTTAAGGGACGAATGACTTTGTGCCTGAAATAAACATCTCTATCTTCAGACTATAGTGTTCCTCGATCTCAAGCCGAGTCGATCCTTGATTCACAACCATTGCTTCCTTTGATCAATCACCTTTGTCCTTGGTTCAAGATCAATCTTTCTTGAGTTAATTACCTTCTCTTGGTTGACCACCGATTTCTTTAGTTGGTCACATTATGTTTTTTAAAACCAGATGTTTTTCTTCCCTAGTGAAGTATCAATCATTTTCTTTGGTTGATCATAGTCTATCTGTTAAACACCAAATCCCTAGCGGAGTTTGCAACCTTCTCTTGGTTTCTCTCCCTTTTTTGTTGGTTAATCACAGTCCGCTTGTAAAACCAATCTCTCTTGGATTAATCACCTTCTTTTGGTTAATCACTCGTTCCTTAGTTAACCACAATCTTTCTGTTAACACACTGAGCTCCTCTTGAGTTAATCACTGTCTTTTGGTTAATCATTCATTCTTTTTTATTAATCACTGTCTGTCTATTAAAACACCGAACCCTTTGCAGTTAGCAACCTTTATTTGGTTCAAATACTCGCATCTTTGGGTTAGTAACCTTCTTTTGGTTCAAATACCTTTTCTTTGGTCAAGTATTGCTTGTTCTCTCAATGTATCGAACTCTTTTGGGTTACAACCTTCGTTTGGTTTCACACCCGTCCTTTGGGTCACAACCTTCGCTGGGTTCCACACTCGTCCTTTAGGTCACAACCTTCGTTTGGTTTCACACCCGTTCTTTGGGAAAATCTTTGCTTGGTCCCACACTCGTCCTTTGGGTCATAACCTTCGCTTGGTTCCACACCCATCCTTTTTGGGTCACAACCTTCGCTTGGTTCCACACCCGTCCTTTGGGTAGATCACCGTCCATCGGTTAAAACTAATTCCTTTCTCTTTTCGATTAACCACTATTTATCAATTAACACACTGAGTCCCCCAAAGAGTCAGAGACTTTATTTTGGTTCATTACTCTCCTTCTAGTTCATCACAGTCCGTCTATTGACACCAACCTTTATTTTTCCCACTGAGTCATACTCTTTTATTACTTCGGTTAACTGCTATCTGTTAGTTAATATATTGAATCTTCGGTGGATCTTGCTTTATTTTGAATCAATTCCCTTGCTCCTTTTTTCTCTTGGTTTCGACACCGTTCCTTTACCTTTCTCTTGGTTTCGACATCATTCATTTGCCTTTCTTCCTTAGTTTTAACACTATTCTTTTGTCTTCTCCGGTGGAATCTTTCTACCTCTTTTCATTATTGGTTTTGACACAGTTTCCTCCTGTTTTCCCCAATAGGGTCATTCCCTTTCTTTCGCTCTTGGTTCTGACACCATTTTCCTTTTCTTTCTCCGTCCTAATTTCCCGAACTACGAAGCTCTGACTTCCTCATTGCACTGTGAGGATATGTAGGCATAAGATCGCGAGATCTTGGCGAGTTACCTTCTACCTTCTTCCATTTTTCTTCCTCTTTCCTTTATTCTATGAATTATGAAACTCTAAATTCCTCATTGCACTATGAGGATACATAGGCACGAGGCCCCGAATCCTCTGCGAGCACTTCTTTCTCTCTTCCTCCTTCTCTCTTTCTCTTTCTTTCTTTTTTTCTTTTCCCTTTTCTCTTTAACTAGTAGCCTTTAGATATATAACTCATCCAAACTTAAAAGTAAGCAAAACGGTTCCCGTCGAATACGACGGATACGTGAGGTGCTAATCCCTTCCTCTCGCATAACCGACCCCCTTACCTATTTCTCTTCGTCTTGAGTTTTATCGATATTTTCTCTGTCCTTTGAAGCTAAATAAAGTTCGGTGACGACTCTGTTGTATCTTTGAGTGTGCGATTCACTCAGGTATAATTCCACTAGCCTCATCCAGTACACACAAAAAATGCACATAAGATATCTTGTCTAAGAGAGTTCTGATACACACAAACATTCAAATTGAAACACATTTGCAAGTCTTCATTTGCCAAGTGTTCTGGTACACAAAAATGTTTAAGACAACACATAAAATCTTTTTGCAAATCTTCTCGAACTTATTTAAGTGCAAACCAAATATCTTTAGTAAAATTATCCGATACAAAAAAAATTATGTACCAGAATTCATTTTAAAAATCTTCCGAAATCGTTACGTAGAGATGCAATTTTCAAAAGTCTCAAATAAATAATAAATAATAAAATGATAAATTAATTAAGAACATGCAAGAATAAAATTGATAGTTTTTATAAATTAGAAGTGTTGGAATTCGGGATAAAGTTTTCGTAACGCATGGGGTGAGATGAATAATGCCCTCAATTAATGTACCCCATCAGCGGCAACCACTCTGAAGGGTCCAACTCTACTCACAACCCATTTGCGCCATGAAATCCCCATCCATCCAAAAGAAGTGAAACATCACAGCCCCATCCGAAATATGGGAGAAACTTCCGTTTCCTCACCTCCCAACATGGATTTCAGATGTACAGATCCAGAAGGAAAAAAAAACATTTTACTCGGACAATTTATAGCACATGATTTATTTTATTTTTAAAAATGAAGAGGTGTTGAAAAGTAGCCCCTGCTCATTTTATGTCTAAGGTTAGAAAAAGCAACTTGACAACAAGAACGGCCATGTATCCAGGATGCCTAAAACTAAAATAATAAAACTTGGCAAAACAAAAAAGATCTTGAATGTCAATGTTTGCAAACATCTTCCGAGGATTTCATATGAAAGAGACAAATAAAGTGTCACAAAACTAGATGACTGATTCATTTCCGGCTAAATGCTTATTAAGACAATTTCAAGTCAAGAAGTGTAGTGTATCATAAGTTTCCTTAATAAAACTATACAAGCCCACTCTAGAAAAATGAAATCTAGAGTAATAGATGTAGTTGGGCTGGACAAACGGAGAGTACCCTTACAAAACCCGTAAAATCCAAATCAGAAATTGGTGTTGCGAGCAGATTGAAGCAACCGTTGGGTACCCAAGCGACAGAGGGAATAAACAACACAGGTTCACTTTCACAAAATTAAACCCAGTAGCATCCAAACTTGTCAAAAAATTAGGTACCGAGCATGATGTTTAAAAGCTAGGAAGGATTCCATTTTGTGTGGAATGGGAGATTCAAGTTGGTAGCAATTTTGGAGGTTTTCTTCATTTTGCAGAGACAAGACCTTTTGGTTCAGTTTGGGATTGGGTCTCATGATCACATTTTCCACCATTGCCAAGCTATTGCTCTAAAATGCATTAACAACAACCATAAAACAGAACAACAAAGAATAATAAACAATAAAAAGGTGTAACTTAAAAAACAGAAAAACAGACTAGTTAGATGCCAAACACTACTCCTAAAGGTATAAATCCCAAACAAACTCCATCATTACCATTACATACAGAGCCCTAAAATGATAAAATTGCAATTTTACATAACACAATTTAATGCATCAAGTATTCATGATAAATAACTATGATTACATACGATCCCACATAGCACAGCCACACTCTCATACTATATAATATTGACCCTATACAATAGAATGCAAGATATAAAACTTGATTGTTATTAACAGGGGTGAGCAGGTACTTCAATTTCAAACATGAATCAATCAAATAGTGAATACCTTACATGGTTCTTTATATCATCAAAGCATGTCAATTTGTACATATCATCACAGATTGTTACAAATAATAAATGAAGCCTATGGTATAATTTCAATGAAACCCTTAGAAGGCTATTATCATAACAGGGTCTAGAAAATAGTAAGACCTATTGTGAGTCACCAGTGTTGTCGATGGGGGTCCATGGCGGAGAGCCAAAATCCTGCCATACCAACCGCTTTGCAGCGCCGTTATAGCAGTTTATTGCGGCAAAACCAGCAATAGCGGCCAATATTTACCATTGCAGGGAGTCCAAAAACCACAATGTATATCGGCCATAGCGACCATGGCACCGCAATTTGATAACAATGGAGTCAACTAGAGAAAATCTCAAAAATCATAACTTAGATTTACATTGGAAAACTAACTTACTACACAGTTTGATGAACTGATATCTCTTTGAGGAGTGCATACCTAGCTTTGTTAACCGTATAAAAACATAGATAGATATGTTGCTCAAGATCTTTAAGCAATTGTTCAAAAATCGGCCGTGTCTTGCGAAGCTGCTTGATCACTTCCTGTATAGGATGCCTATCTCTTCCCCTCTCCAACGCAAACCGCACGTAAGCCTTATCGCCTTCCACAGCTGTTTGAAGACGATCCACAAGACTATCAATGGTGTTCACATGATTCACAACAAAAGTTCCACTCTCAGCAGCATCAAGCTGCTTCAACCTAGCCAATGCCTTCCTCTTTCTTCTCTTTTGAAAAGGAATACAAAATGGCGCCATTGCCGCAAATCCAATGGAAGCATGTGTGGCAACAATTACGGCAGTGACTATAGCTATAGATACAGTGGCAAGGCCACAGACAGCACAGCCAACCGTGGCGTTACGGAAGAGACGGATTCTGTGACGACATTTCCGACGGTCGAGTTGAATTTGGTGTTTAAGATCAGAGAAGCTGTTGCGCAGGGTATTAAAATGAGGGAAAACGAAAGGGTTTTCGTGAATGTTGAATTGGATGAAGAGGTCATAGGCAGTGTCACATTGGAGTTGAGAGAGGGAGGAGCTATCGGAGGGGAGAACGGAGAGAAGATCAGAGATAGGGTTATACATTTCGCGAGCACGGTTGATGGAACGGACGAGGGTGAGACAAAGGTGGGAGGTTGTTTCACTGTGATCGAAGTAAGATGAAACGAGGTGGGTAAGGGCACTTTGGGGTTTTGCGTTAGCGAGGGTTTCACGGACGCTGTTGGGGTCGGGTTGAAGAACTTGGGTGAGGATATCACGATGGTGGGATTCTTCGTCTTCTTCTTCGTTGTTATCTTCGTTTTGTTGTTGGATTTCGATGTGGTGTGGTTGAAGAGGGGTTTGGATCATGGTGCGGATTTCGTTGTAAGAAGGGCCTTGAATGGCGCGATCGAATTCCCGAGAGACATTTGGGCTTGATGATGAAGATGGCGTTTGTTGTTCTTGGGTTGAGTTTGCTGGGAAATGAAAAGAGGGATTGAGTGAGACATTTTTACAAACAGGTGGTGGGATTGAAATAGAAAGGTTAGGGTTTAGTGTAGTTACCTTGTGAATATGGAGAGAGAGGAGGAGGCGGGTTGCGTGGGGAAGGAGTCAACGAGTTGAAGGAGAGACATTGCAGCATTTCTATCGTGAATGTTTCTTGTTTGAGAGGAGTTGTGGTATACTTGTTGTCGCTGTTGGGAGTGTTGTATGAGAATACTTAAGTTTGTAGTTGAAGCTAATTGAATTGTTTGAATGTGTGCTACGACCTGAGTGGAGGGGAGGACCTATACTAGTCTATGTGTGAAGTTCATCTTTACTACATTTAAGTTTCGCTCCATTTAGACTTGGTCCTTTTACACGTGGCAAAAAGAATTCCAAGAATAGAATTAGGTATATATCCAGTTATTTTCACCCTAAGAGTCTATTATCTATCTAATACTAAGGAATTGAATGATTTTCCAACAATGTCTTTTAACTCAAAAAAAAATTTCACTATCAAAAGGGTGATTCAGTAAATAACAAAATATCATATTAATTCACTCCCTCATTCTGTTTTCTACTCACGTGTCACAGAATCATTTTCAGTTCAAATTCAAAATTTTCTTTACATTGTTTCAAACTATTCTCTCTTTTTCTCATCTCTCTTTCCACTAAAAGAACCTACCCCTTCTCCCTCGTCTCCCTACTGTATGCTTCATTTCACTTTTCTCTTTTCTCTCTATTTTCTCCGCAAACCCTAGCGCAGTCGGGGCTTTCACCACCTTCTTCAAGTTCCGTCTTCAACAATATCAGGTGTTTATCTCAAACTCCTTCTTCTTTAACCTCTATTTCTTTCACTACTCTAACTCCTTTCATTTTTGCATGTTTACAACAACTCAAGCTGCTCTTATTCCCTCTCTCTTACTCTGCAACTCAATAATACAGGTTTATATCTCTCTTCTATTAAAGACCCAACTCATCAATCTTACTTATGCTTTCGCTTTTGATTCGCTTTGTCTGATAAGATAGAGAAAACAAATAGTCGATGTCTTTTGTTTTGATTTCCCTTCTCTTTGTTTCAAGATGTCTTTTGATTCACCTCTTAGTTATGTGTTTTGTATTCCAAAGTTTTAGGTAAGGAGTTCACAACAATGCTCGAAAGTTTTTTATTCCAAACTGCATAGATCTCACGGTTAGGGTTTCATTTGTCCATGGTGAGTTATTTATGATTTTATTGTTTGTTTTCTTCCCAAATTTATTTAGATAATGTTAGTTCCATGGTTCTATGATTGTCCATGGTTCTATGATTGGCTAAATTTTGGTAAAACATGATCCTGCACTGATGTTAAGCAGGATATTATAACATCTCCATCTGCTGTAGTGACAGAACTGTTGTGGAGTGTTTTAATGAGAATGTCATGCTGAATGTCGTGACATCCATCTGTTGTCATGACAGAACTGCTGTCATGTGTTATTAATCATAATGTCATGACCAATGTCATGACATCGTTGTCTAATACAGCAAGAGCTGTGGTAACAGAACTACTATCATGTGTTGTAAACAGGATCTCATTACCAATATCATGACATATGGTGCAGCAGGAGCTAACAAGAGCAAATGACAGAATTGCTGTCATGGATGCAAAAGGAGCTGATGACAGAACTACTGTCATGGATGTCATTACCAATGTCATGACATCGTTGTCAGGTGCAGTAGGAGCTGATGACAGAACTGTTGTCATGGATGTCATACTGAATGTCATGACATCAATGTCTGGTACAGCAGGGGCTGCCATGTTATATCTCTTGACAGAAGTATTTTGGTCATGTTGGATATTCCTCATTAGTATGTACATGCTTAAGAGAGTTATTAGAAACAAAATGTAGATTTAATGGATGTTCATAAAAAGGATCTTTGATACTTTTTAGGGAACTATAAAACATTTGTTTCTACTGTCATGAAGAAGATTCTGCAGAAGTGTTCAACAGGGCAAGTTGGAAAGCAAGTTTAAGTGAAGCTGAATGTCATGACTGAATGTTATGACATTGATCGTATGACATCAGGCGTGCAGGGTTTGTTTTTCTGTTATGATACCTGATATATCTCAGGCTATAATTCAGGAAACCTATTATGGCTTCTTAGTTATCTCAAGCAAGATTCTAGTCAGGGCTGGACATAACATGAAGCAGTTGTGACCTAATTTGACAGCACCTTGAATTGTGGAAATTAGTTTTACTTTGTTAAACCTAATGTTTGTTACTTATGACCAGCCCAAGCCCAGTCTACATTGCTATAAAAGGAGGAGCAGAAACAAGGAAAAATCAAGCACTCACATCAAGAACAACTTGAGTGTAAAATAAAGGTCTAAGGTTTGAGAGTCTCTTGTGTGTAAGTCACCCTTTGTATCTTTTGATACATTGTGGTAGACAAGTGTGCGAGTGGAGAATTCTGTGGTTTGCAGTGATTCTTCACGTGTGTAGGAGTCTTAGGATTTCTTGTGTGCCAAGCAATTGTATGTGGTATAATTGCTTATGTTAGTGTGTATGAATTGTTGTGTTCATTGTCCTTGATTGAAGCTGTTAAGCAAAATCAAATATTGTGACTTTGAAGAGTGTCTTCTAAAGTCTTATTATGTATTGAATTGTTTATCACTGCGGTGATTGTGGGGAATGAGTGGGCATACTCAAGTCTAGAGTGTCTCTAGGTTGAAGTTGCATTGGGTAGAGATTAAGTGAGGGGTTGTAAACGGGGGAATTTAGCTCTGAATTAATTCTTCTAATAATGGATTTCCTTCCTGGCTTGGTAGCCCCCAAATGTAGGTGATATTGCACAGAAATGGGTTAACAATTCATTGTGTTATTTATCCTTCAGCATTTGCAATTCTGCACAATTTAAATGTTTAGCTAAATAGTCTGTCAGTATGCAGATTTCACAACAGAGGTCATGACGTTGGTCATGACATTGGAACAATTTAAATAAATATAAATTGGTCATGGTCCATCCTCGTCCTTGTTGAGCAGAGATCAATGTTCTTGGAACACATGAGATCTGCATACCAGAATTCAATTGGTATCAGAGCAGGCATCATGTCTATTCTGGATGAGATCTTGGGAGATAATTTCTGGTGGTTTAAACAAGGAGAAGCTACAACTGAGTTGTTGATCTTTCTAAACATTTGAGTTGTTGCTTATGGAGTTTAGGAGGAGGTTGCCAAGAATTATGTGTATTTGCTGTTGTGCCCTCTGATATAGGCGCCTCTATGACTTGGTGAGTGTGTTCTAACATCTTGTTTAGGGCTTGTTGAAGATGTTCTTTTGGTGGTTCTGCTGCATATTCTTCTGATGAAAGAACTCTGGTAGCCCTGGGAGAAGATTGCCCTATATACAGGTTGATGTATGGTTGTGGCTGGTGCTGATAGATGGCATAATGGGAGGTGATTTATTTTCACCGTTCATGATTTGCAAGAGCGCTATTAGCTGAAGGAAGTCATAGAGAGGTTGAGTCAAGGGTGGTAGCCTTGATGTTTCAACACTAGATATACTTATACTGAAGAATACTTGTGGTATTACTGAAGTATAAATATCTATCAGATGGTCTTCTCAACAAGTTGTGTGGATTTAAGATCAATTGTTATGTGTGGATTACACACGTATTTAATTAATTATCCATGAAGTTCAGAGAATGATCTATTATAAGGATTTAAGATTCATTGCTATTTGAGATATTCTCAAATATTTAATGGATTATCCTTAATTGATAATCAAGTTGTCTCGTCAGTTGTAGCACAAGTATCAGGCCCTTGATCTGGTTGAGGATCTAATGTTCAACCAGATGTTGAGACATTCCATCAGCAGAGATTGTGTAGAATTCTGTTGATCACTATATCAAAGGAGATAGAGCTGATGATCTTGGTACCATACGCATGTTTGGTAGGATCTGTCTTCATTCTAGTAAGGTTCTTGGCCAGAAACTTAGGCTAGAATGTAGTGCTGATGGGAGTAAAGATGAAGACAATTTTTTTGGTCAGTTTATCTCTGATTTAGGAGTATTGGAGTGCAGCTGGTGTGTTCTAGTCTTTACTAGAAGTATCTGATCTTTATCTAGAAAGTTTCCTGGCAAGAAACGTGTCTAGAATATGGTGATGGTAATAGCACTGCTTGGGTCAGTTTATTTCTGATCTAAGTTTATAGGAGCATGTGACCTTGCTCATCTTGGAGGACAAGGATAAGTGGCAGTTATCTTTGACTGTCTAAAGAAGTCTCTACCTAAGGAAAGCGGGAATCCTTTTGTAAAGATTTTTATGATATTCCTTCTCTAAAGAATCAAGCTTTGGCATGTTTGGTTTTCTTTAAAGAGGAGTTCTTAAAGAAAATGCACTTCAAGAATAAAAGCCTGAACTCTCCAGCTGGATGTCTTAACTGAAGTTGTGACATCAAGCAGAAACTTCAAGGCCTCAAGTGATGAAGATAAGTTGATCTTCTCAGGTATGAATGGAATTAATGCTTCATCTCATGCAGTTTGCAGGATCTGTGTGAAGGAGTAGATGCCTTGCTTTGGAGCAAGAAGAATTTGAGACTTGAAGATCAAAGTGGCCTGGTGGATTAGCAGATTCTCTAGAGCTCGTAAAGAAGCTGAGTTAACCAAACAGTGGCAGTTGGTTATTTCAGAAGGGTGCTTGAAGAACATTACTCTTGTGCAGAAGGGTAGTTGTTTGAAAATCAAAGGAGGTTATGATTCTGTTCATATATTGGAGCTTGTGGTAGAAGATCTAAGTTGCTTATGGAAGAGTACCTTCTTTTGGAGATGTATTTGATCAAGCGTGCGGAGCTGTGAAGTTCTTCAGTTGGATTACTAGGCAGAAGTAAGTCCAGTTGTGGGAAGATAAAGAACCAGTGGATATGGTTGGTTTTCCTTGGCAAAGGACTTGAAGATCTGGTGCAGAACTTGTGATTCATATCTTGGCTAAGAAGTACTCTATCTTTTCATACGGGAGAATGACTGTCTTGGAGTATGATGTGAAAGGATTGGACAAGACTGGAGTGGATCATTGATTAACTGCATGAAAGTCTGAACTCATGAGTGAATATTCACCAGTTAAACCATAAATGTTCTTACTTATCATATGGGAGAATGATGAGGAAAGAATGTCTTGGATTATG